TATATATATATATATATCGAATTTCAAGTTTAGTTTAGTAGTGTAAAAAAAAAAAAGGGACGAGTGAACGAGCTTTAGCTAGGCTTGACGGCAAGCTTGGGGCACAAGCCAAGCTCGACCAAAATTCGACGCTTGACTCGTCGTGTACGAGCCACGAGCTCGACTTGTGCGCACAAGCCAAGCTCGTGTGTGTAAAAGCCGAGCCGAGCCGAGCTACCCCTATAAGGATATGAGTAATTGTTTTCTAGATGCTATGACATTGATACAAGGATTTGGTAAACCTGGCCTTTTTATAACAATGACGTGCAATGCAAAATGAAATAAAATATAACATAAATCTGAAGGTAAGCTAATGGGTTTGAAGAACAGATTTTAAAAAATATTTGGCAACAACATGCACTCTCTTATGGGAAACTATATGTCGCACTTTCTCACAGAGTTTCAATGCAAGCAACAAAATTTTTGATTAAAGCAAAAAACAAAAAGAAAAGAAATGCTAGGTACGTTGACAAGAAAATAGTGTACAAAAAAAGTTAAATGTAATGAAAACATTACATTTTTATTCAACATTTTCACATTATATACATAATTTCATAAAAAGTTTTATTCATATATATATTCTTTTTTAACAATTTAATTATTACTTTAACAATATCAATTACCTCAACTACTTTCAAAAACAATTTTAGTAATACTTAAAAAATATTACACACATATACATCCGATATACAAAACGTGCAACACACGTACTTACTATTAGTAAGCAATAATAAATAAAGCCACAACTATTACCACACTACATGATATCATGTCCTTCCTTATCACCAGAACCGACAATTACCCTACATAAGCTTTGACATGATGGATATGAGCCGCGATAAGGTATTCTAGAAAGACGATCACTACTTTCTTCAACACTCCAGCTGTCAAGAGAAATCTTGTCGGGATAAACAGTACAATACAATGATAAAAACAATGCCCTTGTTGAGATACTAAAGACAACGGATAGGTTCTCCTTTCTCTTATGATTGCTCGACTCAGCACTAACGTCACCAGCATTAAGAAGGTCAACATAAATTGTTTCGAATTTGTCTTTCCGGCTCAAATAAAATTTCAAAGAACTCATCCATTTCTTCGGCTGAAATGGATGAAATAATGCTTTAGTTAGTCCATCGAATACAGAACATAAAACGATGCCAAATTGACGCAAGCAAATAAAATGGTAACACGATAAAGGTGGCCAATAAAACCCCCTGTAAGTACAACAATTTATACATGCTGCAATGTAATTAATATAATAAGGACCAAGAAATCATCAAGTTCAACAAAACATAGCTCAATAAAACCATTGAAACAGTAAAAAGTTCCACAATGTGTAAATTTTGTACATATTCTAACATTTTGAGAAAAAAAACACTTCGGATACATATTCTAGCATTTCTCTCAACTTAAGTTCATCTTAAAAACTAAACATTATTCAAAACTGTTTCACGTATTTTCTTTAAAATAAAGACTACTTAAAGTATAGCAACACCTCATAACTATAAACTCTAATAGATTCCACCAATAACATGGCCTAAAAATAACACTAGATGCATTTCCTCTATTATTTCTGACGTATATTAAATCACAAAATAATAATATTATCCAATCATTTTCATAAGAGAAACATATATATACATTAAGAAAAAGACATATTACACCTTCCATATTATAATTTAAATAATCATTTGCTACAAAAGAATTTATTCTATTATTCAAAGCAAATTCAATCACAAAATACTCATTTACTCCAATCATTTTATTAAGAGAAACAAACTTAAGGATGTGTCTGAGCCCCATTTTTTTAAAAAAATAGATTTTTTAATAGTTATTATTTTGGGGAATGTGTTGTTTACAAGTAGGGAAAAAATTTTGGTTTACATGTAAAATTATTTTATTGAAAAAAAATTTGGTTAACAATGAGTTTAGGGAAAAAAAAAAAAAAAGA